CATGTCTCAGTAAAACTACTATTTGAATATAAAAACATTTAAACATATAGTACATTTTTGTTCCATAAAACAAAGAATAAAAGTAGTTTTTACTTTGTTTTAAGACTTTAGCATATATTTAGGGTTGAAAGAGCTTTTTAGAATGTATTTTAAAAAAGTAATATAATGATTGTTTATTTTTATTTTATTTTTTTAAATTTGTTTTATGTTACTAAAGATATGCCTATATGTTCCTGTGTATATTCCTATATCTATGCTTATATTCCCTTGCTTTATCCTACTGTTGAATTAAAATTAGAAAAAAATATTTCTCAGAAAATAAAACAATAAAGGTAACAGATTCGAATTTTTCATTTTACAATATTGGGGATGTACAAATGAAATTAAAAGTTCAATAATGATAATTTTTAATAAAAAAATTTAATTTAAATTCAATTTTTGTAAAAAAAACTTACTTATATAGTGAAAGCATTGTTTTAAAGTTTGTCCTTAATGGGTTGCGTCACTCCCTCGCAACAATTTATCAAAAATCATGTCAGAGAATAAAACCTTTTATTAAAAACTTTAAATGAAAAAGATTGAACAACACGGAGAAACCTCGCAGCATGTTCTTATTTTCAAAACCCATTCACGTTTTGGCTTGTGAAACCCGTTCGAATCCATTCAATCAGGTAAGATTTCTTACATTCATCATTCCTTCGTGACATTTTTTAAAATATAAGAAGATAAAATAGAACCTGAAAAGTGAATAATTAAAAATCGTTTTAAGCCTTCTAATATACCATTAAAAACTGAAATTCAAGTTGAAAGTAATATTGGGTTCACATTTAAACTGTTCAGTCATTAGAGATTTTTCACTTTTCGTTTAAAATACAAAACTGACGAGTTCATTTTTTGGGTGAATAGTTTGATCCCGTGTTTATGTCAACTATGAATTTTTAAATTCAAAATACTGTATTTTGTGATTATTCCGTATATATATATTGACCTCAAAATTCTTTGCCCACTTATTATAAGAAAAATTATTCATTTAATACAGAAGTCTGTTTTCCAAAGATATAAATCAAATAAAAAAAAATTTATTTTTTTAAAAAATAATTTATACTAAGAGGACGTTATGTAAGCATCTAACGGGGGGCACTTTCAAGTGTAAGAGATAGGAATGGTATCTTTACGTGAGACATCCTCTACTTCCAAATTATTTTTTAATTCCGAGGAAACAATCATAAAAACGAAACAAATTTTTACATTTGGAATTAAATTCGGAGAAAGAAAAAGTTTGAAAACCTTTCTTCGAAGAGTTTCAGAAGTTTTGAACACAATGGATTCCTAAAGAATAGCCGTAAATTTGAAAAGGTCAACTGTGAAAATTTATATCTTTTATTTGAATTTATTCCTAAGATTATATTAATGCAATAAAAGTCAAAGTTAAAGCGAAAAGTTAGGGAGAGGTATTGCGACTTTCTTACGCTTTCTTCTGTAAACATGGAGAGGTTTATGATTTGCTTACTTCTGCTGACGAGGGAGTAAGGAGATTCCAAAATTGCTAAAAATATGCTTACGCATTATTTGAAAGATAATTCAAATATACTTTTAGAAGTAATAGGCTCAGGGTCCAGATGGGTCTTATCTAGAAGTATCTCCTCCCTCCCTAAAAGATTTTCTTTTTTAAAAAAAACATTGCATTTTATCAAAAAAAGTCAATTTTAATACTAATTAATATACTATGTCTCATGTTCGCTTTGTTCATCAATCTCTACAATCATTTTTTTTCTCCATCGGATGATAAACTTTTGCTTATAAATTAAAGCCTAATTTTAATTAATTAATTATAATTTAATTAATTATTATAAATTAAAGCCTCAATTGAAAGTTCCCAAAATATTTTATTAAAATGACACAAGTTTTGGTTATACAAATGAAATACATACTACATAAAATTGGTTGATATGAAATTCATTTACATGAAATTCTTTTAAGATTAATAATTTAAGACACACATAACATAATCTATTGTCATGTTGAAGTAGAGAGGCTTGTAAGTATGGCCCAAAAGCAAACAATTTTTTTTTTTTGCTTTCTCAACTATTGTTTTATTACCAATTTTAAATATATATCTTGACATGTGTTTTTATTGTTTGGTTCTAAATAGTTAACAAGAAGGTGCAGAAAATATTTAAAAAAAACATTTATTCAAGTTTAAACTAATCTATTTAATTTAACAAAATACCGACAATTTCACTAATTTTCTGTATGTTGCATGCACCATGACGCTTATAAAAATCTATTTGCCTTTACTTATTGTTGTCATTTGAAAACCTAACCCATTTCTTATAAATTTTCCTCCCTTAAAATTTTATATTGTAACGAAAAAGTATATTCTATTTAAAACTGAGTTTCGAAAATAAAGAAAGAAACAATTCCAGCGTTGGTCATCTAGTTTGGTTAAAACACAATTTATGAAAAAAGAAATTTTCAATACGATGTTTACATTAATTTATTTAAAATAATTTTAATTAACCATGAAAAAACAGATGCAAAGTTTGAAAGTTAAGTTTACTTCAAGAATAGATTTATTGTAAAAAGAAAAACAATTGAATAACGCTAGAATATTAACATTATTTCTTTCATATTTATGTTCATTACAAGTTGTAAATTTTGTACAATTTTCTTACAAATGACAAATTACGATACAAAATTGAAAATTGCTGAACAGTGTAGATCTAAGCTTAATATGAGTCTTTCCCACTTAAAAAATAAATCGATATTACGTATGCAAACTAAAGTAAAATACACTCATTACATAGAACTAAAATGATTATCAATAAAAGATGTCAATGTCTATCAAGTACGTTCATTTTATTTACATTTGTTTAATAAAATACTAAGCATGTATAGACGCTCATTTTAAATTTCATGGAATTTAATTTTAATTTAAGAAAAGTTTTGGCAAATTCTTGACAGCAACTGTTTCTATTCCGAAATAAAATCCGTTGAACATTTTAATCCTAACACTTTTTCGTCTATAAATGCAGTGAAAATCTTTTAATCACTTTAATTTCCCTCAAGAACGCTTAGGTGTCTCATTCACTGAAGTAAAACGAGGAACGATGAGGTACTAATCCCCTTAAATAGAGAAGAAACCATCAAATAACGGGATTAAAAGTGTCCGCCCACCCCTCTCTCTTTCTAATAGATAAATCTTCCTGAACTGGTATGAGGAGAGGCCCATTACCGTCGCTGCTGATTTTATGCGCAAAAAATATAAATGTTTATCAAGTACTACAATTATAGTTTTTTATTATTATTTTTTTTTGTTGATCTAAAAATTATTAAATATTCTGGTCTAAATAATATAAATGATTCAGATTTCAGAAAATATCTGGCAGCTATTTTTCTTGCCTTAAATTAGAAAGAAAGAAAAATAATAAATTAATCAGACTCTCAATTGTAGCACAAAAAATTATATTTTATGATTTTTTTTCCTATTATTCTTTGAAAATATGTGTATTTCCTATCGATTTTTTTTTTCTCTCAGTGAAATTTCATGTATTGAATGTGATTTGTATTTTATTTATTTATCATCGTTGTTATTATTGATATATATATAATTTTATAATTATTTTTTATTAGATAAACTACTGTTGTATATCCTTTTTCTGTGATTTTAATATTTACATTTTTTTGTTCATTTCTTTATATGGCATAAAAAGAGTATGGTCGTTCCTCGTTGTTGTGGCCGCATTCTTATAGGATATAAAATCGCATGACATGGTTCCTTAGTAAACAAATAAGACCCAATTTTTTTTAATTGTCATCAGCATAAAACTAATAAAAGCTACAGAGGATTTTTTTTACTATTAAATATTTTTTTTATTTAGTATTGAGCTTTATTTACACGCTTTATTAAAGTATCCTTCTTTCTTAGAGATTGTGCTTTATAGCTAGTATTCCATTTTTGATTTTGATTATTTCTTAAAATGAAAGACTTAAAACTAAAAGCTTATTTTTTATGCTATAAAACAATCCTATTGTGCAACATTTTGGGATAAACATCTTTAAAACGATGTCCAAATCCATTGTCCATTTTATTATTATTAAACAGCATATGAATTATAATTACTTCTATAGTAAATTTTAGGTAAAACTGTGTCCACTTAATGCATGTGATTGAAATGCCAAATCGTACGGTAGTATAAGGAATAAATTTTTCGCATTATTACTAAAAAATCTTACTGGCAAAAACAAAAACAAAATTAACGAGGTTTTACAACAATCAGAAATTAAATCGGATTTTTTTTTCAAAAAAAGATTGTAGATGACATTACAACAGCAACCAAGCAAAATGAAGTTGAAATTTCCCCCCCCCCCACCTGAATCGGGTGCTGAAACCAAATCTGCGTCAATACAACGAACCATTTTTGGAATCTTTCACTTTAATGCCATTTATTTTAGATGTATCAAACTGTTTATATTTAAAATATAATTGTAGATTCGCAGGGGTTGGAGGTCGAAGCGAGCAGAGGGGAAAGTCCCCACGGGATTTGCAATATTTTAATTTTTATGAATAGAAAGTACGATCAGGATTGTTTTCTCCTGGAATTAAATAAATTTGTCGCTGCACATAAGTAAAATGTCAGCATTTCAAAAGTATACGTTAAACAAGGGAGTGCCATTGCAAAAGAGTGTTACGTTTCGAATTTTTAACATTTGTGATAGAACAGTTTGAAAAAGAAGATTATTAATTATATTAAGATTAGTTACGTTTTTTTTGCGAACAGTTAAAGAAAACGATATTCGAAAATGTAATGAACGGGCACCGGATAAAAGAAAAATAATATCTGTCGTCTGACTTAAATAAGTTCTGAAAGTTTTGAAGAAGTTGTTAAAACTACTTCAGTTCTCACGTGACTTTCGAGTCACCTTGTGACTTAACCTTTTTATGATTATTCAAACATTGTTCTATTTCGATTCAGTTAAAACAAACAAGAGTTTCTTACCTGTGTGTGAAAGGTGAATTTTTCCCAAGTTTTCCGGAGACGGTTGGTGGGTGTACTTTGGGAGAAACAGCGATTACTTTCTTTTCCGCCTGACCTCGAGAAGTCCTGGGGAAAAGACGCATGCGCGGCCCCTCCGATGGGCCGCACCCCCGGAAAAGTCGATGTTCGAATGTCGCATGCCCACCTGTGGGCGTGAAATGGGATGCCATCTACAGGAGTAGTTCGAAAAGGTTGTTCAAAAAGTATCGACTTAACACACTTTCGTTCTTCTTCTTTAATCACCACACGCGTCGAATGGAACGTCGTAGGCGTCCAATTGTTTTTTTATTATTATTATTTTATTTTGTTCGTGGGACGGGAGGTCTCACATTAAAACACACAGTTAAAATAGTGCTCTCAATTTCAAAAAAATGGAGGGATTTTTTTGTTCACCAAGTATCTGCAAAATAAATAAATAAATAATAACTATTTTTATTACTTAACTTGTTATTAACTCATGTCTTAATTTTTTTTTAACTCATATAATTTTTTGTCTCCTATCTAAATTTTAAAGTAATGACGATTCTTGTAAATTTTCGTCTTTTGCTAAGATATTTCGAGGGTAGAGAGTGATTTAGGAGGACATATATTCCCTCTTCCACCAATGACGTCCATCATGTCGCAAAATAAAAAACGGACCACCCTGAATAACTTTTGATCTAATGATTGGATATTTGCGTTCCAGGACTCAACCTTAATGGCTCGAGGGGGAGACCTTAAATATACTAATTAATAAGTGTGAACCACCTACAAGATGGATAGACGACGTTGAAAAGGACCTCAAGCTATTGGGAGTCAACCGATGGCGGGCCGTCGCACCGGACAGGGCCAGATGGAGGAAAATCTGCGAGTCAGCCTTGGCCTGTGAAAGGCTGTTGCGCTTATGAAGAAGAAGAGTAAGTGTGAACGATTTTTTAAGTTACGAAACGAGACACAAAAACGAAACATGCCTTTTTTGCCGATGGATTCAGATTTCTGACCCACAAAATGTAACCACAATCTGGGAAATAGAATCCCAATAGTCAGGAGAATGGTTCTAGACACCTTAATGTTAATTTTACTTTTTGCCCATTTCTCCATATTTCCAGACATTTTTAAGCGCACTCATAAAATTCATTCATCCAAAGGTAATTCCAAGCGAAAAATAAATTTTAGTATATATTTATTATTTTTTGTTAATGTATTAAATAATAGTCGAAAACATTTTAAATTATATTAAGCAAAATCGGTTGAATAGTTCCTGAGAAATCAAACTTTAAGTGTCTGACTTTTATGAAATTCAATTCCTCAGGACGATTGCGCTCAAATTTTGTATTTTGCCTTGTAAAATTACATTCTTTCTCCGTTACATTCTCCTTCATTACTTAGGCGTCGATTTGTATTCAAAGTTGAGGGAGGGGAGGACAAGTACTATATACATGGAAATTGAATTGCATTAAAGCTCTAAATACTTAAAACGAAAAAGAAAAATATCGCTATAACGTATATTCGTGATAAATCATGAACAGTGAGAAGTGATAATATGTTTTAAAAACTATATTTATTATCAGATTCGTTGTAACAAGATTTGTTAAAAGTACATAATTTTATAATTTTGTGAGTACTAGGGGGCTAAGCTTCCTGTTCGCTGATCCTTACCAATACAAAAAGTGTATTTTAAGTACAATTTATGCATTCATGAAGTTGAAGGTTAAATTCTAAAATATTTAAGGAATCGATTTTAACCGTATTTTATAATAATATATTGATGTGATTTTGCACCAAAAAATAATAATTGTAAAATGGTTAATAAGATCAGACACTGATTTAAATGACTTGATCTTAAAATGTAACGTAGAATTACGTTACTTTAATAATAAAAATAATAATAATCCTTTAAACTCTTAATTTAGGAAACAAACAAAATCAAAAACGTAATAATAACAGTACAGGTACCTTTAAAATAGGGATGCAAAAATATTTATAGGAAAACAATTCGCGATTGCAACGAACTATAGGGGGCGTTGTTGTATGAGACGAATACCTGCGAGTTACTCTGGAGACGTCTTTAATGTAGCGTGTAGCATTGTAACGTTCCTTCCTTATTGTGGCCTATTAAATTTAAAAAAGAAAAATGTTTGATATTCTCTCTTATGCAAACGAAAACAAAATGGCATCTCTTTTTTTTTTTAGAGAAGGAGCATCCAAAACATATCGGAAAAATATTTGTAAATAAACAGAAAAAAATTTGTATATTCTTATTAGAGTTAAAACTAATGCTTGAGAAATAGTTTTACTGAATTTAATGATATAACATGAAAGGCCTATTTAAACTTACTTTAAGAATCATATTACTTCAAGCATTAAAATAAGCAAAAAATATACATAAGCCTCATAATTTTATGTAATTTAATTTCATGAAAAATGTTTTTTGACAACAATTTTTATCAAAAAATTTTAAGTTTCAATAAAAATCATTATTTAGAAACTAAAAAATGTAAAATAAAGAATGCTTACGAAACAAAACAAAAAACAAAAAAAAAAACAATTCTAAAAATTCCTCACATTAAAATAAAAAACTTAAATGTTTTTTTTTTTTAAATTCATAATCGGAAGTCGAAAATCATTCTATGGAAAATTATCATCAAATAACCCTGGATATCATCTTTTTGATTCCTTGTTGCCTTGTTGTTTTCTGATTTTTGAAAGCCATTTTTTAGTGCTACGAAAATGCGTCTTTGGGATTTGCCAAAAACAGAACTAGATGCAATTTTATTTTTTCAGAAGTGAAATATTTTACCAAAAGAACGAAAATGTACCAATTCCCATGACATGAAACTTTATCTTGGTAAAAGTACGTTTTGGAAATGTTATTTCATTTAAAATCTTATTTATTAGAGTTCATATAGCGACAGCATCAGGTGAAAGAAAATAGAGATTGCTTTGTATCTGTGCTAAACTCTATATCGGCCAGTTTTCCACCGAAATCGGATTGACTACTTTGATTTTAAATAAAGTGTTTTGAAGTTTGAAAGTGTTTTGATCTTAAATAAAGTGTTTTATTTTATGATTAGTCACAAACATTTTAAGTGTAGATGGGAGGCACTTAAAAACCGCCAAATCTGCAGCTGCGGTGGCGTTAATACGTAAGTACAGAATTTTTATTCCTTACTTTTCTGAATCATATTACTTCAAACATTGGAATATACAAGAAGTATACATAAACACATAATGTTATACCATTTAATTTTTCAAGAAAAGTATTTTGAGAACAATTTTTATCAAAAAATTATAAACTAAAAAACGGAAAATAAAGAATTCTTAGGATAAAAAAAAAAACGATTTTAAAAATTCCTCATATTGAAATAAAAGACTTCCATGTTGTTTCTCTTTTTATTCTTCTAGTTCTTAATCAGACGTAAAAAAGCATTCTGTAGAGAACTATCAGCAAATAAGAAATAAAATTATTTACAAGCAAATTTTTTATTATAAAAATCATAGCACTCACATGCTTTATATGTCCGGAGAATTCCAAATAAAATGTTCTTCGTTTGAAAATTTTATTTTTAAATAATATATACACAGATTATTCCTTCATTACTTTTAGATAACATGCCACACAGCAAAATTTTATAACTGTAAGATCTAGATATGAATTTTAATATCTAGCTTAAAAACAGAATAGCTGAATTCTAGTTGAAATTATTCTTTCAAACCTAAAAAATACATACCAAGAAAATGATAAAAATTTATTAATAATCAGCACAAATGATACTATTTCAAGTAATTCGGATGATTCTTTATTGCTGTTTTCCGAATTATATAGATACAGAAATATATATCTATTCTATAAAGAAGAAGAATATTTTATAACTATTACAGTTCTGTACGTTTTGAATTCATATTTATTCATTGGAATGAAGAAAGCAATGTTGACTTCACTTTAATTTGTAATGAATTGAAGACAGAAAAAATTTATTTTACCGTAATACACACATCTGTAACAGTATGCGATTCCGAAATCGAAAGTTATCAGTTACAATTTTGTTGATAATAGAAGTTGAAAATTATTGAGGAATTTTCTTCAAATGTTTGGTGTGCTCTGTTTCTGAAAGATTTAACAATGTTCTGGAGAGTTTTTTCAAGTTTTTCGGCATTTTCCTTAGAGAAATTTTGCTTCTTATTTGCTGCTTGGAAAAATGGCGTCTGATTCTGCCAATGATTGTGATGGAACTAAATGAAAACTTAATATATAAATACCTGATATTTTCAGGCTCCCTCTAGAAGACGTACTCAAGCGTTGCGATCGTGAATATCTTTATGACTTATATCAATTTTATGCTGATGACAACCAAACCATTATGAAAATTAATTTAGCAAAACTGGATCCTACCATGTGATTTTTCGCTTAATAAAAATGCACCTACAACAATGGAAAACTGCGACACCGTCATTATATTTTTATATGTAGTAAGAAACAATGTTCAATAGAAATATCTACTAGCTAGAATTAGCACTTGGGTTCTAAATTAATTTACATAATATCTCAAAAAATTTCTTATAATTTTCTTTAGTGAGACAAAAAAAATGTTTTCACCCAACGTTATATAACGTATATAAATGTTCATCAGAACGAAAAGTAGTTTAAAAACTAACGTAAAACTATCTAGCTTGATTATGTATGAAGGTATGCATGTCAACTAAAAATTTTTAATGGAAAAAAATATTAAATGTTACGTTTATATTTATTAATAGTTGCAATAGCCAAAAGATTTCTAAAAGTAGAAAGAAGTACATAACTTTATCATATTTACACATGATGACTCACCCCAACCATATTTATAAATGATAAATGATAACAAATTAATTATTAACCATTATTAAAATTCATGTAAAATTATTGAGACGACCACTAATAAATTTAAAAAATTATTCCCCTCCTAATTTAAAATTTTGGTGATGATAAATTTAATGACTAGAATATATAAAAAGACTAAATAAGTAGAAATGTATGAATATACAAAAAAAAAGGTTTAAAACACAAATTTAGGAACTTTTCCTAAAAGCACTATTTCACTCTCCATTTTATTTCCTTAAAAATTATTGAAAACCGTATTGTAATCAGTGGTCATAAAAACTACAGTATTTTTGCATTTTACTATAAC